TGCATGTTTCACATCCCAAACAAACAATCGGAAGATTCAACTTTGAAAACCAATAATAATGACTAATGTATTTATTCTGAGAAAAATTAATTTCAATGAAGAACAAACTGATCTATCCTTACGAGCTATCCGAGAGCGAAAATATATCTAATCGACAATACTGCAGTAAAGGATCAACCCGCAAAACAAATCTACCAATCAATTATATTCTAACAAATCACACATAAAAAGAGCATGACTAATCTTATATGAAATTTGATAAATATAATTTTTAGGGTTTTCAGATATGAAAATAATTAACAATCTCTCAAAATAAAATTAAACAATAAAATCTATGAAGGAATCAAAATAAAATAACAAGTCAAACTCTTCAATTAAGATCCTCCCTAGTCTTGTTGAAAGTTTAGTTGCCCTTTGACATAATTCTCTAGCCTTGAAGAAGAGAATAGAAATCTGGTAGCAGCCTCTCCAGCCCTTTCGATCCCCCTCTAAAATAACTTGGATGGGTATTTATAGTATCCTAGAAAACCTAATTAGAATGGATGTGGGCTGGGCTGAATTACTGCGCAAGGGGTCGACACTCATTGCAAGGTGCCGGCACTTTGAGTGGAGCGTCAACTGCATCGTCCGTGTCGGGTTTTTGGCCTTGTGTACAATTTTGCTTAATGGCAGAACAACAGTCTTGGTCCTTGACTCTTGAGCCTTTAAACTTCTGATTTATCCTTGGATCCTCATCTTTTCAAGTCTTTGCATTTAAGTCCTTTTTCTTCTAATTCTCTCCATTTAGTCATCAAACCTTTAATCACCAAAATTTTGCACAATATGAATAGAGTGAACAATTATGAAATTATTTGTAGAAAAATATAACTCTTAAACCCATAATTTCACAAATGTTCATGGTTAAGCACACTTTAAATATACATTTTCATGCTTTCATCACTCTTTGTAGAAGCATTTGTTTCAGATTCTTTGATCTTCTTAATACTCCGATCAAGCAGATCAGTTTCTTGAACAGAGGGGAAGTTTTCAAACAGAGAGAGTTTTTGTGGGACACTCATATCTGGTAAAGTACTATGCTTCGTCTTTTGCAATTCAAATTCTATTGATAAA